TTCGGGGTCAGAACGGAGGGCTCACGTACGTGTAAAACAAGATGGCTGCGTGAAAAGAGCGGGGAGGAAGACGGACAGAAGTTCTGTCGCTATGTATTAGTAAAGAAGAGAAAGGGGAGCTGGAAAGAAGAGGGTTGATTGTTAAACCTGAGCAAACGCGCGCAAACTTCAAGCAGGCAGCCGTGTGCCCGTCGCTCTCGCCCGCATCCCTCTCCCCGCAGCCGCTGCGACGCGGAGACCCGGCTGCAGCCAAGTTGTTCCCTCTTTATCTTCCCTCTCCACCTGGAGAACGTGGGCACCGCTGCTGCTGCGCAAGCCGTCACCGAGCCTTGCGGAGGCCCGAGCCGCTCTGAGAAGGCCACCCCGCGAGTACAGCCGGGCGCTCCTCCCCATGTAGCTCTGGAAGCCCTAAAATCGTGCTCCCACCCGCTCGCTCCCCGCCGGGCTGGCGCACAGGGGCTGCATCGAGGGCGAGAGCAGCAGCAGCCCCACGCGCCTGTGTTTTATCACCGCCCAGACCCATCCCGCCGGGACTTAGCGCTTCCATGCTGCTCCGTGCCTCGGTTTCCCCTTCCGCACAACCGGTTCTCCACCTCCTGCGGGGCTGAGGGTGACTCAGTGTTTCACTGTCATCTTATTTCTGCTGAAACGACGAAAACCAGAGTAGCTGTATGCAGAAAAGATCACTACGCTACAAATGCAGAGGCGCTTAGCCTGCTAAGGTCCTAACTGCTTTGGTTTTTAATTTGTGATAGCTTTGCTGCTTATTTTAACAAAGGCACAAAACCCACAAAGCTCTCAGTAAGCGTTTAATTAAAGCTTAATTACTATAAAGACGTTAAATGTGCAAAGCCGGAGCAGCCAAGGGGAGGAAGCCCCTAGCAGTGTTTTTCACAGAGACTATAAATCCTCCCTTTTAGAACTGATGTCTTTCCGGGAGAATTAAGAAACCGCTTTAAAACGGGTCTTGAAATCCAGCAGAGCTATAGGCTTTCACAAAGACTGAAAACAGAACAGACTGGGAGTCACTCCAACTGAAAAACCGAAATGCAAAGTGAGGTGGAACGGGCACGCGTGTGCGCGCACACCCGCCCGCCCGCGGCGCTCTCCGTGCCTGCCAGGAACGCAGCTGTACGCAGCACCAAAGCGACAGATACTCGTTGTGATGCTCAGACTAAAACCGGCATCCCTGCCCCGCCAGCTATGCTAAAGCTGTGCTAAATTCCCCCAGAAATGGGAATTCCAGCGGAAAACCTTCCTTTGCTCAGGTAAACACGGTCGCAGCTGATCTGGCGTTAGCCCGGTTACGACCTGTGTTACCGCAGAGCCGAGGAGTCTGGACCTGGACTCCCTCTCACATCAAAAAAAGAACTGTACATGAATCTATCCTCACTTCGGGAAGGGTCCGAAACAAGGTAATAAGCGAATTAAAAGAATAAATAAAAGGAACGCAATTCTTTCAACAATATTTTTATATCATCTAAATTACCTTAATGAAGTGTTTTTAAAGCACCGACACCACGCTTCGACACCGGACTGAAGCATGTGGCCGCTCCCCTTTGCGTTTATGGCTATCCCCACAGCCACGCCTGGGGCTCGGCGTGCCGGCCCCCGGGCGTTCGTAGCGCCAGAGCCCCAGCTGCACGCCAAGAGCGTCAGGGCCGCTAAAAAAAGAGAGAACTCCCCCAAGCTGCCGAGCAGAGACTGGAGCGGATCCCGGGCGTCCCGGTAGCCCGGTCCCTCTCCGTTAGATGCCAAATTACCCCGGGCCGAGAGGCGCCAAGGCTGAGCTGCGCTCGCGCTGCGCATCTGCGTTTCAGAACGGGAGGCTGCGGGGGAAGACGCCAGCTAGGACCAGAAACGCTCCCGGCGTGCGGAAAAGCGATTCCCTGGAGCACAGGCAATGGGAAAAAAACCCGGACCTGGAGCTGCTGGAATCGCCAGTCCTCTCCCAGTTCACGGGGCTAAATTCACCTGGATGAGGAGCCTCTGGCAGCCGAGGAGAAAGGCTCAACGCGACGTGAAACCTGGCCCCGCTCCTTCCCAGCTGCGCACCCGTCTCCCCTTTGCAACCCGTTAGTAGGAACGTACCAGAACACTTCTTAATGCCTCGCCGTGTTTTGGACACGGGACGTTTTCAAGAGGAAGAGAATGATCATCGTTTTGGTGTAAAAAGGAAAGACAGACCCCAAACCTCCCTGCCGTCACATGGGATTTGATCTTGTAGCTGATGGCAACTGACAAACACCATTAATGCAGTGCCTCCGAAATTAAATTAAACATATGGACTGTGGCTGTCTAACTGGAAGAGCGAGGGCTGTGAAAATTGGGAAACATTACAAAGCTAAAGGACAGGTCACAGAAATCTCCAGCAGCACAGCAGAGACTGAAAACATAGTTCTTGTCTGAAAAACGACTTTGGAAAGACAGTAATTTGGGGCTGAAGGCTGACTTTTTCTTAGGCTGAAACCGCTCATCCCGGTTACCAGCGTCACAGCCCCCTAAAGCCTCGCCGGGTAACTTGTTCGGCAATCAACCACCTTAAAAAAAAGGAGTGGTCACAGAGCAAGCAGGTTGAACAGAATCGAATGAGCTTGCACTCGTTGCAGGCTACGCGCAGCCCCCGGCTCAGCTGGCTGCACCTTGATGGCCCCCGAGCCGCTCGTGGCCTCTCCCCCGTTTTGCGAGCCAGAGCAGGACCCGGCTCCCCC